GCAAAACCAATTGCTAAAAAAATAGTCCCTAGACTTGTTTAACAAAAAGTCCCTTCGACTAGAAATAAAAAGTACCCCAAAAATATCCCAAAAAGGCAAACAAGATGCTCAAGAAATAGCCCCTAGACTATTTTTTTGATTTGTTTTTGGCCATGTTTGGCGTATTCTTTTAATTTTCGTCGAAAATCCCCCTGTAGGGGGACAGGCCCGACTTAACCCAGGGACAGGAAGAACAGGCCGTGCCGCTGCTCTGCGGCGCCGCCTGGGCGCCGCCGACGGAGGCCTCCCCGAGTCGTCCGACGAAGCCAGCCCAGGGCCAAACTCGGGGGCGGCAAAGGGGGGGGGTCCAAGAGGGGGGGGTGCAAATCATGACCGGCGGCATGTGCGCGGCGAGCGGGGGGGGCCAGGGACGTAATGAAATATACAGAGGCGCCATGAAATCTGGGGAACTATCATGGCCCCCGCCAGGATATCCCCCCCCCCGTAGTCATCACCCCCCTCTTTTCCGTCCCCGACAAACTCGGACAGGAACAACGCGGGCACCTCGGAGCTGTGGCGGCTCCGCAGGGTGTGTCGGGCGCCGCGGCCTGCCCAAAGCTCTGCGGGGCGCTCCGAGAGCGACCCGGAACGCCCTGGAACGACTCACCCCCTGAGCTCGCCCCGCCCGACGCCAGGGCGGGGCGCCACGGCACCGGTGCGTGCTGAGGCACCCGCCTCTTTGCGCTGCAGCGTGCGTGGCCTCGCGAGGCCCTGCCAGAGGGCGCCCTGCATGGACCCTTGCCGATTACGCTGGGGCACTGCAGGGTCGCTGGAGGGCGTCGTGGGGCAGCCAGCACGATCAGTCAGCGTCGGACCGGGGAGCCAGACCGCACTGGCAGGCGCGGCGGATCGGGCTGCGTCGGCGCGGAGCCGCCTCGAGTCGACCCAGCCGCGCCAGGATGCCGCGACGGCGCCGTGCGCCTCGCATCGAGCCCGCTGGGGCCGATCTCGGATCCGGCCAGTCGAAGCGAAGTGGGCCCCAGGGGGTTCGCGCACAGCGACAAGCGCCGACCCCCAGGGACCCCTCTCCCTCGTCTGCGCGAGTCGCCCTCCCACTTCGGGCGGTTCCGCGCGGCGCGTCTGAAGGGGCCTGCCCCCTCCTCGCCATCCCGCCCCCCGTCCCCCCTGTCCAGGGCGCGGCGGGCTGCCGCCAGCTTTCTGCGCATCGGGCGGCTCCCAGAAGGCACACCAGCGAGAGCTCGACTGCTCGACTGGTCAAGGCTCCGTGTTGCCATCGCGTGCGCCACGGGCACTGACATCCAAGCACCCATTGGAGGCTTGGAAATTGACACCAACACCAACACAGGGGGTTGCCTCCACCAGGGGAAGGTGATCCTAGATTTCGGTGTTGGTGGTAATCTTTCGGCCGCCTAGGAGGCCAGAATAATACCACCATCACCGAAATTGGAATACTCTTCCCTCGGTGGAGGCACAACGCCGATATTGGTGTTGGTGTCAACCTCTAGGCCTCCGAACCCAGCCAGAGAGAAAGAAGCTGTTACAACAACACGGCGCTTGCCGCCAGAAGGCCCACAGGAAGATCCTGGATCTCACCATGGGCCCTCTGCGCGTCGGTCGTTACTGGGCACGCTATCGAACATGGTGCCATCCCGCACAGGGAAGCTTTACTCGGGGCCCAACGCCAAAGCCGAAGAGCTGCGCGATCATGCGCAGTCCTTTCGAAGAAGAGGCCCAGCGTGTAGGAGTTTGGCAAACCATCGTCCATCTCGAATGGAGCTGGCCAGCGTGCGGTACGATGTACGACGAAATGGCTCATCCTGCCAGCGAGGTTGTTCACACATGTGTTCCGCGCGTCACAGAGAAGGCCATTCCTGTGGGACATTCGACCACCAGACACGACCTGGGTGCCGTCGCTGCGGTCAAACAAGGCCTTGCCTAGATTGCGAAAACGTGGCGACTCCCAACGGGAAGCAAAGCCAAATGCACTACATGGCAACCTGGCCTCCTTTGAAACTACCTGTGCGGGGTGACCACACCCAGCAAAGATAGTCAAGGTCGGCATCTCTGCCGGCCCATCTTATCTGTGTAGATGATGCAACCAAGAAGAGGAAGAAGAAGACGAAGGAGAAAACGAAGCATAAGAACAAAACATAAAACCAGGAGCACACCGTCTGAAAATGCCCGTGCTGGAAGTCCGAGAAGACTGTTCTGAAAACAACGGTCGCCAGGCAACAGCGGTGAGATCGGCCGCCGCACATCCGACACCGCGGCCCTCTTGAAGATCCCCAGCTCCTTGATGTCCAAACTGCCCTTGCCGAGGCCGAGCTCCCACAGCCAACGCCGCAGCCCGCCACCAGAGGGCCCCGATGACGACGCAATCCTTACACGGAGCAAACTGACGATGACGATGCCGGGGCCCGATGGTTGCATGCAGCCACAAATGGGGCGTGCTCGCACCAAGCACCCCCTCTACTCGCCAAAGCTGGTTTCAGAGTTCAAGTGCCCAAGTCACCGGCTAAACCAGTCAGCTCGTGTTCGCGGTCTGGCGCAGGCCGCTCAGAGGGTCAAAGCTTTGGCCATGCTTCATCTCGTCGCCACGGCTGTACGGCCTGCCGGCATGTTCGCTGACAACCAAGCTGTCGCCGACGGATTCGAAGACCCCCTGCAACGGTAAACCACCTCAACACTTGGGTGCCCAGGCTGACCTTTTGGCAAAAGACCCACCGTGCCCGCCAGGTCAAGCCGGAACTGTTCGAAGTCCAGAAGGTAGAGAGCCACCTAGGTCAGCAAAGCATCAGCGAGGGGCGTATCACGCCGATTGCGGAGGCTTTCAATCGCCACGCAGACGAATTTGCCACGGCCGGCGCACGCATGCACAGCTTATCACAAAGAATCGTCGACGCCGAGAAGGGGCGACATACGTTCGCGCCCGTCCTTCGCGTCACTGCTGTCGCCATCTGGGACCGGCGTCACCAGACGCTTCCCCGACTGCACCGAAGAGCGGGCTACTCAAGGGATGAACCCAGCAAGGAGAAGCCCAACCCGTTCACCACTGGCCGAAGCAGCCACGCGCCACCGGGCTCACATGCCGGCCCCGCGCATCCTCACGGCCCACCAGGGCCCGAAGACTTCGATCACCTCGCGGATCCATGGGGCGGTCCCGCTCGGTGTCTTTTTTTTTGCCACCGCACCCATTGGATGAAGGCTCGAACTCGAGATAAGCCAAATCTCAAAAACGCCGGCCGGGTTAACGTCACCCCAAACGGGCTCCGGTCATATTCCCCCCCGGAGGCGACAGAGATGCACCACTGGAATTCCTAAAACACTTCGGTCAGGAATCCAACTCCTATCGAGCACAACCCTGAGCTGCCGGACACGACCCGGCAGGGCCCAGCGCCTCGCGCCCAAGGTCACGACATCGACGACCACAGCGAGCACGAGGACCCTCGCGACGCGGGCCAGCCAAGGCTCCCCGACGGCCCGGCGCAGGCCGCCGTCGGCTGGCAGGATCAGGCCGCCACCATCCGTCCCCCTCGCCAGCAGGCCAGCTCCTCCTCCTCCTGCTCCCCCTCCTCCTCCTCCTGTTTCCCCTCCTCCTCCTCCCCCCCCCTCCTCCTCCTCCTCCTCCTCCTCCTCCTCCTCCTCCTCCTCCTCCTCTTCCTCCTCCTCCTCCTCCTCCTCCTCCTCCTCCTCCTCCTCCTCCCACCAGGATGCGAGGAGCCGCGGGCGGTCGGTGGCCGACGTCGGAGCGATGGCGTGGTGCCACGGGGGCCCGGCGAACAGACCGCGGGCAATCCCTTTGCGCAGCGTCTCCCAGCGGCCAGACGGCAGCTTGCCATCGCTCGGACGTACATTTCCCGTGCATTTTTCGGTTTCGTGCGTGGTTTTGTTTGCTCGATGGTCCAGGATGGTCCTCGATGGTTCTCGCCGAGAACAAATGCACACGTCCGAGCGATGCCAAGACAGCCAGAGGGTGACCGCGAAGCGGCCCTCAGGGCTGGCATCAGCGCGCTGCAGCAGCGGGCCAATCACCTCGCCCAGTCTCTCTGGCACAACCAGGACCACTCAGCCCCACGGCTTGGCGGGTCCGACCGAGCACAAGCTGCCTGGAATGGCCTCAATCAAGCTTTCCGACCTGCCGCTTCTCTTAGGTCGCCCCTCCAAGGCAGCCTCCAGTCTTACCTTGATGCCCAACGCGCAACACACTTCTGCTAACGCCCCTCCTCTCCAAATGGTCTCCGCGAACAGCTGGCACCTGTTCAGTTGCCGGGCTATGGGGCCTCCGAAAGGGGTGCCCCAAGGCGGCGTCTCATTGGCTGGGCGCCGTATCATGCAAGTCAAAGCGTGTGTACCGCTGGCGTCTCTCTGCCCGCGGGCGTGCAGAAGAGGCGAGCCTCGCCTTAGTCACAATGTCCCACTTTTGGTTTCCAGTCGGGGTCCTCACAGACCGCGCCAAGGCCGGAGGGCAATTTCCCCACCCCTGCATTGCACAAGCGGCACCTTCCATCACAAAAGGTGGGCGCGGCGGGAACCTGCTCCCGCGCGCCCAAACGAACTCCCATCCGAACTGGTGCGATTTCCCTCCTCTCCCTCCTCGTTTCCCCCTCTTCTCGTCGTCCTCCTCCTCCTCCTCCTCCTCCTCCTCCTCCTCCTCCTCCTCCTCCTCATCATCATCATCATCATCATCATCATCATCATCATCATCATCCTTCCCTTCCTTCCCTTCCCTTCCCTTCCCTTGCCTTCCCTTCCCTTCCCTTCCCTTCCCTTCCCTTCCCTTCCCTTCCCTTCCCTCCCTCATCCTCTCCTTCCTCCTCTCCCTCCTCCTCTCCCCCCTTAGCCTTCGGCGAAGGCCCGCCCTCTCAGACCAGGCCAAGCACGTTTGCCACAAACCCGCGACTGCCAAGTCGTCGCCGTGTTGCAGACAAGTGGGTGACACCACCCTGGCCACACAAAGCAACATCTGCTCACGGGAGCTGGCCAAGAGAGAGGGCGCCGTCCAACACGGGGTGTAGTTCAACTCCTTCACCAAGCTTTCATACATGGAGAAATCGCCCTCCTTGCAAATAAGCTCTCGGTAATAAAATGCATTGCCTCGCGAATGCAGCAGCGGTTCGATCGCGGGCAAAGCGGCAAAGACGTGGAGAAGCGCGGTCCTATCCTTCCATTTGCCCCTCCCCTCCACCGAGCAACGTGAGGTGGTCTGCTCCCCTTCTTCTCCCCTCCCATCGACAGACGAGGCGGGGAAGCGTGGTCTGGCGGGCAAAAGCGTGGACATCGGGAGGCTTATCGGTGTCTGCATCCGTTCCCCAAACAGTGGTTGCACTTAGTGGATCTGACTTGTGTTCTGACCAGCTGAGCCTCGGGTCTGTCTGGCGGCTATGTTGTCGCCGTCGCCGCCCCGTCGCCGCATCGCACCGCCTCGGCTCGTCGTCTGGGCCCTGGGGGTCGGTCTGGCCGCTGTGTTGTCGCCGCCGCCGCCGCCCCGTCGCCACCCCCGTCGCCGCCTCGCCGCCGCCACAGAGACTGCACCGTATAGATTGTTCCACATAGATGGTTCCACGTATAATGCGGGATGACGATTAATTAAAACATGGGAGAGAACGATTAAAACATAGTTTTCTGTTATGCACAACTTACTGACTGGAGGAGAACGATTAAAAAATAGTTGTCCAGCCCGCGGCCGGTTTTTTCTATTCGTCATCCCGGGCGCCGCCGCTTGAACACGACCCCCGGTCATTTATTAATCGTCATCCGCCATTCGATTGTTCCACATAGATGGCTCCACGTATATTGACATGATTCGAACGCCTTTTTCCCGCGTGCTGTCGCACGAATCATTTGTAGCAAGCAAGACGTGGTGCACCCGCGCGCGTCGTCGCGCGCGCATACCGACATGCTTCAAGAACCTCGGCTTCGTAGAGAGTTCGGAATCGAGCGCCTCGATGTTTATCATAATCGCCTCGCAAACAAGAGTTTCCCCAAGAACTCGAGCTCGCGCTCTTACGAATTCAATCAAGAATTCTGGGTTTCCAAAATTGCCATCAGGTATTAGCAAAAAATGCCTATCGCGTGCGCATGTCGAAATCATTCGAACGCCCTTGCGCAAAATCTTTCTCAAACCTTTCATCACCAACGCGAGGACATCATCAACGTCGTCGGCGTGATCAACATGGGCGCCGGCATTGTCCTTGCCGTCGTCAGTGCCATCAGCGTCAACCGCGTCGCTAATACCATCATCGTGTCAGCCGGTGTCGACGTCGCCAAGATAACGCGCCCGCCCGAATCATCGACCCGCACTTATGTGCCCGCGCGTCAGCGCGGCTGCGAGACACGCTGGGCGGTTCCCAGCGGCAAGCACCACCGCGGCCGTGCCGATCGCGCCAGACTACCTGGCCGCTCTGCGAGCGAGCTTGCGCGCGCTACCGTGACCGCGGAGATGTACAAGCCAGCGTCAAGCTGCAATCGCGATCGCCGCCGCAAGGCTTTTGTACATCAAATTGCGGGTGGGTGGGCCGGATGCTTGCGCGAGAATGGGAGGTGGTGGCGCGCGAGGAAGTCAATGTCAGCCTGCACCACGTCGATTGCATCACCTATACTGCTCCACAGTCACTGGGCAACATCGATTGCACAACTAAATTGCACCACGTCGATTGTTTCGCATTGGTTCCAGAACATATATTTCCAGAGCCACAGGTTCGGGTCCACGCTGGCTAACACATCTACATACAAATACAGACACACCACTCGCATGCAGACGCGCACCACAACCTATACATACACACATCCCAAATTTATAAAACGAGGGCTGACGCGGGCAGGCCAGCATCAACGCACGCAGACTTGTCCACTGTCTGTGCTGCAAGTTGGGCGAGAATCCTACAGCCATGGCGGGTTTTGTAATTGGAATGCAGTGGGCGCTTGTTTTTTTCAAACGCAATTATGATTAGCTGTATTTCCTTAACGGGAATGCTGCAATCAGTGTGTATGTATATATATATATATATGCATCTCCACGGTGTTTAGGATGTTCTGAGAAGTGATGTCAAAAGCCCCAAACGCAATGAGTATGAGTAAAAGTCTGGCCTTGCCAGAGGCACGATTTGTACTTACACCCACTGCACCTCGGGCTTCTGTGGAAGGGAGTCCACAAATCAGAGACGCAGTGGATATTGATATTCGAATGAGGCGGCCGAATGGTCATTTAGTGTCCCTGGTCGTGTGGGTGAAGTGGGAATCCGCGGTGTGAATTGTTGTTGCATTGTTGCGTTGCTGTTGCTGTTGCCGCCGTCGTCGCCCATGATCTCCCTCGCGACCCACCCGCGACCCACTCGCCGCGACCCACCCCGCGGCCGCCCCCGGACTCTTATCCGCAACTGCGGATTGCCACGTAAATCTGAAGGGGCCATGGGACACACACAAATAAATACACGCAAATAGAAAGATTCCCCATATTTTCTCATGTTTGTTGTTTTGTCTTCCCCCCCACTTCCCATATTTTCCCATATTTTTTGGGAGTCGACGATTAATTCTGTCTGTGTGTGTTTTCCCCCTGGCAATATTCGCGTCCAAAGCCAAAGCGGTGACTCCTGTCGATCCACACCGTGTCGGGGCCACCGTGGCGGGGGCCGTCTGCGGCGTCGACACGGCGCGCCCACTCCTCGAGCGGCAGCCACCACCGCGGGCCAGAGAGGGACGAACAACAGTCAAGCAGCGTCGCTGTTCTTCCCCCTTTTCTTCGCGCCCTGGCGCAGCCTCGAGTGGAAACGACAAAGGGGAGAGACATGGACTTGGAATCGGCGATGCATCGCCCATAGATCGGCGACGGGCCCTCGATTGCAAAACCACACGTTCCTGGGCGGGGTGGGCTGTCAAGCCCCTGCCGGCGATGAGGGGGCGTTTGGGCGTCGTCGATGCGTTCCCCCCTAGGAGTCAGCTTTTGGAACGCCCTTGCAAGAACGGTTACTGGCTTTACATACAGGTCAAGCTGCCACTGCAGCGGACTAGGCCTGATTGGAAACCGGATCTGGCCGGACTTAAACGAGCTGAGCGGAAAAATGCCAGATTTGGCGGTTTTCGACCACGGATTTACCATCGCCGATGCCGAATTTCACCTCCCAGGAGCTGCGTCCAGATCCCCCTGAGCGTCTCCACACCTGTTGCCCCCGAAGCCTCCGTGGCGCAGAGCGGCCCGCCAGCCTGGACCGCAGAGAACGACACGGGGTTCGCTGCCCCACGCCCGTTGCTCCGTGAAGGCCGCCTGAAAGGACGCGGTGGAAGAAATCTTGCTGCCGTGCAAAGTCCGAAGGCACACCCCTCGCCATCAACCCTGAACTCCGCAAGGTGCCCCAGTAAACCTGCGGGATCATCAGGGGATGCGAGAAGCCCAGACACGCGACGTTTTGTATTGTTTAGAACGGGGTCGCCAGAAAACCCGACCCTTTCCCAAGGGCCGAGACCTCATCCCGAGTCGTTTTCTCACGGCTCCGGGGCGCTGCGACGGGCCCCCGCGGGCCGAAAACGCCCAAAAGGCCTCCGCGTCGTGATTTGTCCACGGCGCGACCACTGCGCGGTTTCCCCCAGGGCCGTAGGCGACTCGAGGAAGAGGAGGAGGAGGAGGCGGAGGAGGAGGAGGAGGAGGAAGAGGAGGAGGAGGAGGAGGAGAAGAAGGAGGATTGGAATTGGGAGTGGCCTCGTGGGGGCTCAAGTGCTGCTGCCACTCGCCCGCGAGCCTCGGCCTGCCTTTGCAGTCTGCGAGAACTCTAGGGGGGCGAAACCTACTCTTCGCCAAACCGTCTGACGCGGCCCGTGGCGCACGACGGGCGGCGCACCGCCCCCGCGAGCACCCCCACAACGGCACGCAGCCTCAAGGAGGCCCACTATCGGGTGCCAGTGTGAAAGCAGAGAATGATATTACCCACGGTCCTTGTGTTTTGCCCTTGCCCTCGCCCTCAGGCCTGGAAGACCCCCTCTATCTGGATGGTTGGGGAATTGGACGCTCTAGGACCGTGAGCTGCGGGCAAGGGGAGGGGTCGTGGGTTCAAGACTTTGGAAGAGACTGCACCCCTACGAATTAACTCAGCCAACCTCGCTCGCCCGCAACGGACTCTGATTACTGATGCCGCGTAGCACCTGTGGGGTGATCGCGCCGTTACCTAGACGGGCGTTCCCTTCTGAATGTACTGGTTGACTGACGCTGCTGCTGCTTCTACTGTCCTCACTGCCCCGACCAACTCCGACAGCAGCTTCGATGCGTCCCTCTCGAGGACCTTCGGCGCGGGCCCGATCCTACTCTCGGCCTTCATGGAGGCCAGGATATCTGTGATGATCTCTGACAGCTTTGGTTCCAGTGGATGCGCTTGGTCCAGTGCGGAGATCAATCTGCCCCTCGGCTTCTCCTCCCACATTGACTCCTTGCGCTTCCACTGCCAAGTCTGATACCAGCGATTCAACTTCTGACGCCGGCATCGACGCCATATGATCTGCGTGCACCTGCTTCAGCGGGAGCATCCACTTATCCTGCGTCGCCCACTCCTTGTTGTGTAGCGACGCCGACCAGTGCATCACCGTCATGAAAAATCGTCACGAAAGATGGTCCCCTGGCAGCAAAGTCGACCGTCTCTCCTGCTTTCTGTCGCTTCTTCAAATCCAGCGAGACCTCGTTGTAGTCCGCGCCCGCCGTCTCGTCCATGGCCGCGAAGTCGGTGTCCGCGCTGACGTTGTAGGTGCGATGCGCCGTGCTGGTCAGCTCTGCCAACGCGCGGCTTTCGGTCAGCACGAGCTTGGCGATGATCACCGCCAGATTGTGCAGCGCGTTGTTACCGTTGGCTGCCCTGAGCGCCTCCTCCTTGATGCTGCTTCGTTTTTTTCGGCTCTGGGCATGACGACGGGTCCTTCAGCCAGGCGGGCTTGGCTCCGCCCGATCTGTCAGTTACCGGCTCCGGTATGAAGGGCCAGCACCAGCAGGTACATACTTTTTAGCCAGATGGCTACAGAGATTGTCAACGTCGCTGGCGTGGTACCCACAGACCCTACATTCCAAGGTGATCGGGGGTAGGATCTCCGATAATGTAGCCGAGCCCTTTTGCGGGGCA